AGCCGCCTGTCTTTCCTCAGCCCGGTGGTAATCCTCAGCCGCCTGTCTTCCCTCAGCCAAGTGATATCTCTCAGCCACCTGTGTTCCCTCAGCCCAGTGGTAACCCTCAGCCAAGTGATATCTCTCAGCCGCCTGTGTTCCCTCAGCCCAGTGGCAATCTTCAGCCACCTGTATTCCCTCAGCCAAGTGATAACCCTCAGCCACCTGTGTTCCCACAGCCAAGTGATGTCTCTCAGCCGCCTGCTCCAACTCCCGGTAACCAACAATATGTAACGACGCCTAAATGTCCAGAGGATAACGACAAAGTCTACCCCGCACCGGATGGTGGCTTCTTCAAACTACAATGCAGCACCCACGGCTGGTTCGGGACTCTGGTGAAAACTACTGCCAATACTTATCAGGAATGTATTGATACATGCAGTGCAACGGATGGATGTCTCGCTATCAACTGGGATTCCGACAATGGTGCTTTGTCTCAATCTAAGACCTGTGCTTTGATGACGTCTGACAAGGTTGGAGATACCTCTTGTGCCAACCATGACTATGCGTACGCAGTACCTCCACCTACTATTCCCCAAACAGCTGAACTAGTGCCTCAATGCACAACTGAGTGTCCTGGTGCAGACCACCGCCAGTATACTAGTCGCAACGGAGAAGTCTTCAAGATGAATTGTGGCAAGCGACATGGCGCAGAGTACCTTACTACCCTGGACAGAGGTTCCCTGAAAGAGTGCATGGATGCTTGCTCCGAACTGGTTCCCTGCCACAGTGTTGACTACCATGCCCGCTCAAAGAAGTGTTATCTCTCTAATCATCAGGGCGAGCCAATCATCGATGCTCCGGGATTCAACAGTGCGTACAGCATTGGCTGTGCTGGGGCTTGTGAGGACAAGTGCTGTGGTGACAAGAATGCGTGAAGTTCATCACACCTTTGATATCCACCCCTTTTGAGGTGGTGTGGGAAGGTTGTTCCGCTGTTTGAATGAGATCGGAGTCCAGGGTGGTTTTAAGCAGTTATTTTTCGAGCACACCTTATGATGCAGTTCCGGCACTCACATACCAAGTTCCCGAAGATCATTAGCACCATAGTTCTTTTTGTAGGAGATTCCATGTAGCTAGAATGCTTGGCTATGTATGTATGAGTCGATTCAAAATATTTGAATGCTGTTGGGAGCCAACGTGCAGAACTACCGAGTGGTCAACTGCCGTACGCCATATTCGCGCTCAGCTATTGAAATTTCGTGCATAGTCAGCCCACTATCCCCCTTGGATCTCGGACCACCGGCGCACTCGTACAGCCAACCGTTGACATAGATTGACTTGTATAGACAACAGTAGCCAGGAAAGTCTGCTTTACGAATCTTACGTGATTTACGGCTGTTATACGACCGCTCCCACTTGGACTGGGGCAATGGACCACCCGCAACACAGAAAGACACATTCTGATCCAAAAGGGGCCTGGGTTTCCGAACCAATGAAGGAAGTTACAGTACGATGGAAGTCACCTCCTTATCTGTAAGGGTGAAGAATGGTGAAAGCCATCGGATGCATTCGGAGATCCAACAGGTGGTCATGTATGGAGTTCGAGGTCATGAGTTACAACGTGCTGGACCTTAGAGATAATGAGCGTGTGCGGGAAAACGGCAGTTCCCCGAATGTCATTCAGCGAGTTACAACTGTTACATGCCAAAAACATAAAGAAAGGCATCTTTCAGCATGCAATAAGATGGAAACTACAAAATAACTGAAGAAGAGAAAAAAGAATGCAGAGTGTATGGAAACGCTTCCAGGTCTACACTAATACGACAGCATCGTTGCCGATCATGCTAGGATAGGACGACATCCCAGGTGCTTATGGAGCGCTAAGACACCCGTTGCGTGAACTGGACGACCAAGGTGCGCCGAATACCTTGTCGCCCATGTCTTTCTGTTAGTTTAGATGGTTAGAACTGTAGCATAACCTCATAATCAGGTTCAAGCGTAGCAGTAGGAAACATACAGAGCTTGAGAGCTGGTAGTAAAGGAATCAATCAGATCGCCTGTTTCCAGGTTCCACATCTCGCTTCGGGGAGTAATGCATATAGTAGAACCTCTTGTTGAGGTTGTCTTCGGACCTTGCATCCCTCACTGGAGAGGCATACGTGTACGGGGGGCCTGTCATGACACTTCTGAAGCCATCCTCGGATAGTGCACCGCTGGGCGTTGGGAGGCCTAAAGTAACAACGGATGCTCCAAAAATTGCTAAGAGGTAAGAGATTTGCATATTGATGACGCAGGCAAGGCACGGACAGCTTGACGTAGAACTTGGGACAATTATGGAGGAACGAGCTTGGGGACTGAACGTTATTTATAGTGAGACATTCATCGGTCGACAAATTTGATCAAGCCTGTTATGGCTAATCAGCTGGCGCATGAGCCTGATGTCTAAGTCGGCACTATTCTAGACTGTACCACATTGCTCAGCACATGTGTTTATGCCGGCAAGATAAATGGCACCGGTGGGTTAGGTGGAGAAAATACCGTGAGTTGAATCTTTGCAAATTTTATATGCCATTGCTAATAGCCGGCGTTTTTGACTTGTGTATATTATGATGGAACTATTCGGCTTTTGTTAGAAAGAATGCATTGCAGCTGAAGGATAGTATCTACGTATCTATTGGGTGACTGGGATAGCTACCTTCCGCCGCACAGAAAGGTCATCCATACTTCCGGGGCACGTGTAAAGAGCCATATATTCAATAGGGCCAGGGAGATTCTTCACATGGTAATCTATCCCACTAGCCATCGTGTGTAATGATTCACTAGGATTCGTAGTGCGGGAGGCCACCTATTTCATCCACGCAGCCACATCGCTGATGGTAGTTACACACCCCCATGATGTCCTGTTAGTTCCAAGCCTTTTCAGCTGAGGGGAGCATATACGTTTTTATACATAATTTCGATCATACTGAAGCGGAGTCAAAGGTTGTTGTTCGTCTGCGATCGGCCAGATCTCTCCCATTGAGTATGGCCTTCTCAAAATGCTCACGGGTCACCCGGAAAAACTACGAATTCCAAACCCTCAAGCCTGAAGCCTACGATAATGATAAAATTGATTTCGAATCGGAAACCCTACTCGTAAATGGCAAAGGCGTCACAAAGCCTCGTCTTCCGCATTCCTGGATTTATCTTACCATGGTGAACCTCATGATTCTAGGAACTACTGTCCTGTTGATCCTTGTTTGGAAAAGTGGGAGCCCGGTAGAAAAGAATGCTGTTCTTCGACCCGTGTCATGGTGGTGTAAGTACAGCTAATTCTGTGATATATAACCAATATTCTGGGTTCCAGAGCTGAATATTGTCAAGCTCCCATCCTGGACGATATCGACATCCCCAGGTATACCACAATGTTGAACGGGACACTCTTCGCAAAGCCGGAGGTATCGATCGCACGAGAGGAGCCGAGTCCTGAGAATGATGCGGCTTGGGCACAATATGAGAAGGTCCTAACGCACATTGTCAGCCGTGAAGATATTCTTACGCTAGGCAAGGACCCAGAAACTGTGGCCCGTTTCCACAACGATTACTGGGGAATGGGCGACAATGCGTATATGGTTCAGCTCGATGTCATGCATGTGAGCTATATTCCTTCACTACATTTGTCAACATTGCTCACAACGTCTAGCAAATACATTGTCTGAATCTACTACGTAAAGCAGCTTTCGCCGATTACCCCGGATATAGTGTAAGTGTAGAGGCCAAGGACGACATGTGGTGGATACATTTGGGCCATTGTACCGATATACTATTACAAAATATTCAGTGCAACGCCAATACAGAGGTCCTCACCCTGGCTTGGGTGGCCGACCGGAAGGCGCCGTGGCCGGACTTTAGCGTCAATCGCAAGTGTCGAGACTTTCAGGCTTTAGTCAATTGGCAACGCGAAAATGCCGTGGAGCCAGACAAATTTGACCGAATGCCTATTCCTAGGGATGCTTTCATCTGGCCAGCGCCTTGGAAACATCGAGACTCAGAGCTAGGACACCGCTTAGGACAACATCATCAGCAAGAAGGGAAAGGTCTGCCAAAGTCGCACGAGAGCCATCACACTGTGGTGATGTGATTAGGATGCATTGCACAAGTTACACATTGTTCGCGTAGTACAATCGTATTAACCGGCGAAATATATGTAAACCTCAATAGGCAGGCGTTCTCCAATGGAGGCTAGGGTCATTAGCTGGTGAATACGAATGTAACCATTGAATTACGGGGGTATGATGATCTCATTAGACCAGAAGGCATCCTAATCGCGTACTGGCGTAACCCGGGATGTTTCCACCCATCAACTGGTGGTGCTTGGTGTCTCCAATGAGGACCGTTTTGAATGCTTAGGGCTACTAGCTGAAGAATGGGTTCCAATCGGAGAGAGAGCAGAGTAACCTGCGCCATGTCTGACCCAATATCATCCCCCCTTTCGAAGCAGATTTGATAGGCAACGATTCTGGATACTGGACTTAGGCCAGCTATTGCTCGTAAAACTGTTTTCGTACAGTCGGTAGTGGACGCCTGTAGACAGGTGAGCTTTTGGAATGCAATCTACGATTTTCTGGTTGAGCCTTCTCTGTATTCTCTCAGTATGGAAGTTCATTTACCCCAGAGACAGTCGACTAATGACCCCAATTTCGAAGATGGGCTTGTCCTCCCCAGCACCGAGTTGGATCCGCCTTTAGATGAAAACGCCCGGCACCACTGGCTCATGATACTAGTTCTCATATACCTGGCATTCCAAATAGGGGGGCAAATGATCCCGGGCCCAATGGTGCGGATCATTGAGTCCATTGTGTGTGAAAGCTACTGGCGCCTCCATGATCCAAATCAATTCACGACTTCAGGACGTGTGCCGGAACAATTCTGTAAGATTTCAGAGATACAAATGGAGGTGACGACTGTGAAAGGCTATTCTGATTTCCTTGAGGGGCTTCTAAGTTCGTCGGAATTCTCTGCAACCTCGTATGGCGTTATTCTAAGCTTTTATAGGCGCCCTCTGCGCGATTCCATATGGAATGCTAGCTGATAGATATGGTCGGCGACAAGCATTACGTCTCACCGTTCCCGGATTCATCCTTAACGCCATTATCACCAACTCTGTATTGTGGTTTTCTGATCTCTTCCCTCTTCGCACCATATGGCTGGCAGCACTGAGCTGGGCAATTGGTGGAGGGCCAACGGTAGCAGTTGTAGCCATATGGACAATGATCGCAGATCTGACTACCGGTTCAACCCGTACCACAGTATTCTTTCAGGTCGGGGTTGCGAGTATGACTGCTGAATTTATCGCGAGAGTTATTGGGTCTGGTCTCATGACTCTAAATCCTTGGATATCGTTGATGCTCGGCTGTGGCATCGTTGTGATAGGACTTACCTTTGCGCTCTCGCTGCCAGAAACAATGAACAATACCCGGCGCATAGCTCCCTTAAGAGCGGCAGACACAGCAGCATTCGATGAGCTCCACCCCATTCTGGATAGAGAGTCAATTGATATATCTGAGCGATCTCAGCCTAAAATATCAAGGCACTGTTCCATTGCGGCGAAGGCGCGAGCGATAATCAGTCCGTACGGGTTTCTCTCAAATCACACCATACTGATGGCCTTGTTGGCATGCACAACCTATCAATTCGCTAACGGTTCATCATGGCTCCTGGCACAGTATATATCATCGCGACTTGGCTGGTCTCTAGCCGGAAGCAATCTTCTCGTATCTTCCCAAGCCGCCATTAGCATTGTTCTATTCCTCTTTATTCTCCCTTGCCTCTCAACAAAAGTACTCTTCGTTTTCTCTCCGCTTCAGAAGGACCTCTACCTGGCGCAAGCAAGCAGTGCATGCCTCATAGTCGGAACACTGGGGATCAGTCTGTCGTCGCACATATCTATTCTGGCTCCCAGCTTAGCTTTCCAAGCGGTAGGGGCAGGTTTCCCGTATCTAATAAAGTCTGTGGTTACTGCGCTGGTGAAGCAGGAAGAGACAGCAAGATTATACTCGGTTGTGGAGCTGTTGCAATCAGTGGCAACCATGTTATCCAGCCTGTGTTTGACAAGCTTATTTACGGCTGGGCTGCACCTGGGTGGAGTATGGGTTGGCCTGGCCTGGCTGATCTCAGGGTCATTGTTCGCCATCGTGGAAGTAGTGCTATGGATGCTTTGAGTATCATAGGGCAACACTTTCACCAGCTGTTATATTTTCACGTTATGCACATCCTTCTGGAGACAAAGCTCTTCCGGTCGGATTTTCGCAGTCTATATCCACCTTCCGCCCTTTTCCTCCTCTTTGACTGGAACACTTACGAATTGGAATAGATTGTATTTGTAATATCACACTATCCACCTCGCAGAATAGCTCTTACGGCTTCATCAAGGCTCCCCCTGGGTAATGACAACACGCTGTTCGAACTCTCCTCATAATCCATATAATGACCTCCAAACCCCTTCTCACAGGTTACATATCTCATTAGAAATGGCATAGCACGTAGCTGCCCCTTGGACAGACTTTCCAACGCCAGTTCCTTTTCCTCTTCCGCGTCACAATGTGTCGTATTCCACGGTGACCCGCCGATGTATTCCAACAATGCGAGAATCTCGCTCTGGGAAACCCTGAAAGATTCGATGAACAAGTATCTGTTGGTCGTCCAATCCGGAGCGAGCATTGCATTCTTTACCGCAAGAGCAACGGTGTCGAGAGTCGTGGTCGACCAGCGATTCGCTCCGTCATTGAGTATCATAGCTTGTCTCCTAGGTATATTGTATCCTAGGAAATTCTGGATGGCTCTGTTTTCAAAGGTTGGTTGCTTAGCTCGCACAAGTCAAACATGGGAAGACCAGCATCCACTTACATCTCGAACAATGGCCCCGTTACAAATGCTGTCCAACTTAATCCTTCCTTCTCCTTGGTCCTCAAATACTGTACTATCTCTTTTTTGGCCTTGAAGAGAAACGGGATCATCTCCCCGGCCTGCTCATTTCGCGTATCATGGCCGAATTCAGATGGGACAAAGCGCTTCACTCGGGCTTTGGCTGCGGCATCTATTATAATTTTCTGCTGAGATATTCTACTTGTAGCAATCGTGCACACGACTGCGTCTTGGCCTCTAAATATGTCAATCAGTTCAGGTTCGTCATAGTACTCGCTGGTCCGGTGCACTCTGATATGAGGTGGAAAAGAGGCGCGAGAGGAAGACCGGCTCAATATGGATATGGTGAAGCGAGCGTCGCTGTCGAAAGCGGAGACGATGCAGCGTCCAACGTTTCCTCCTCCCCCGACTACAATCACCTTTCTGATCGGGCTCGTCATGAATCGCAAATGGTGAGGCTAAAGGAGGCAATGCCCCGTGGAACTCTAACGACTAGTCCGCAACTTTCCGGTCTTGTATATGTGACATAGGCCCATCATGCAGAAGCAATTCTGGACAGTGCTATTCAACGCCTGGTTCACTAGCTGTCCACCTTCCAGCTGGGTTGGATTGGGTATGGTAGTTGTCGGTCGTACACGCATAGCAATGATGCAACCCAGAGAAGGCACGATTCGGCACGATTCCGACAAACTACGTTGGTCTCTGTTATCCTGGCCAACTGATAACCAGAAGGATTATTTGACTTTGTGTGTCTCTGTTGGTTACATCGCACACGGTATATATATGGTTTTACCTGAGCACAGAGGTGTGTTACACAGGAAGTTATCAATGTTTTCGAAGTCGTCAGCAATATTGGGATCACAATAGCAGCCCCCTTTTTCAGCCATATGATCAGTGTTGTGCTAAGCCTTGCACGTTAGTGGTACTTGACATTTTATAACGAGCCGACCGTATCACCCTTGCCTTGTTGGCGTCAGGTACACAGTCTCCATTGCTAGAGTATATCAAAGGTGCATCAGAAGTATACGCTCTACCCACGGAATAACCACCTCGGTGCGAGTAATGCTCGAACAGCCTTTCGGATTGTACGGTTCAGAAGGACTGACCATATATTCCTGGTGAGTCAGATACATAAGCAATTTTGAACGAACAGCCTGATATTTACATAGACATATCACATAGCTTCATAGCGTACACGCGTACGGAGAGACGGGTGGTGAAATTAAGCACTACCAAGCAACAGAGTCTATTCGCATAACGAATTAGGGACAGGTGTAGCCGACAGGTTTTTTGTGATATGACAAGCTGCCAAGATGATCGTCATTTCTTCTTGACCGTCTCTGAAACCAACGCAGAGTCGGCGCTCTTGGCAGCCGAGAAGTCATGAAACAGACTATCATTTGAAAAACATTGAGGGGTGTCAACATTCATTATGCATGCATAGGGAGGCGTGATAATGGATGACTGCGCTTGCCATGACACGCAATGTGTGAATCTCCGAGGGTGGGAATAATTCTTGCAAGGGTGCACGTTGGATCCCAGTCATACAGGGTATCCATTTACCAGTGGCATGTAATACCTTGACGGATCTAAAATCACATTGTTGGAGGTGAGCCTCACAGTCATGTCTGAAGACCAATGGCTGGACCATATCACTGAACTCGTCTCTCAATTTACGAAGGAACGAAACACATTACGGTACAATATAACAATCTAAGCCTTACATTTAGAGAGTGCCCCAGTCTCAACCCTAAGGCCAGTGATATCACAACCTCGCCCAAGCAGCATATCACTTTAAACATATATAGCAGACCAAACAAGTCAGCTTCAAAGTCCTGACCTCTAAAAGCCTCGTCATCACACCGCTACAATACGAGTGATGGCATCCACTCGCTGATCTCGATCAGTCTAGTAAAATGGAAGCCACGACATCACCAAGTTACGGTGGCCGCAGACTGATGTTTGGCCGGGGAATGATCAGGTCTGAGATATATAAATGTGCTCTTCATCTGAGCTCTCTTTAACTACATTAGATTCATCGGAACCTCCAAGAAACACGATAGCTTGACATTCAACAACACGACGGAACACAGGAATCAACCACAAGACAGAATGAAGGCTCGTACGCTTGTCCTGCTCGCTGCGTTCTCCAGTCTGGTCAGTGCCGCGGCTATCACCCACCTTTACGGCTTTGTTGAATGTGACTGTCATCAGAATAAGTTATTCCGTGTTTTGATATTTCTGTATAAGAAAGAGCAGACTAACGCGAGCGTAGTTCTAGGTGCATGCAAGTCAATGGAAAAATGGTGCCATCATTTGATACGCTTTATACCACCAATGGAGAAGGTAGTTGTGCGGACATATGGTACTTCTGGGTTTCTCCCGGGCGGATGATGCGTTTCTACGGGACGATTGGGGTGTGTCAGCCGTTGGCTGTGATGTCTCTATGATTTAGTGTTCATTCCTCAATCTTGACAGTGCTTGTCAGTATCTGCCGATATGACAGAGTGCAAGTATAGCCCTGTAGCTTCGCAGATATTTCAAGCTATTGATAGCCGTACAGAGTTACTCCCGGTCCGGCGACAATATTGTCTTCAATAGTTGCCCTGCTCAAAATAGTTTTAACTTTCATTATTCTGGAAAATGGTAGGAACTTGAGCAATTGTAGACGTATCTTACGGTGACGTTTCTTTAATGGACACTGATATGAAACAAGGTCTCTTTCTGATTCAGAAAACTGGGGCCACCCTGTAACGAAAAGGGTCGGAAAGCTAGTACAGTAATATAATACATGCATATATACAATTAACAACAGTTTGTGCCCGAATAGGTACTAGATGTCGCAGTCAAATCCAAGCCGATTCTCGGTCGGATCACATTAGCGCTCCGCTCGCGGCGTTGTGCTTTGGTGTTGGCTTCCAAAATTCACCCGGGATTTTCATAGACCGATGCACCTTAGAAGCGTCACTTGACGGAGGGATACTGGCAGCGACGTCAACAGGAGTCATGACTGGTGATCCTCCAAGTCCCATGGAGTCCGTGTGGTGGGTGGTTGCGAGATGGACCAGCTTCCCCAAGACTGCAAATTCCAACTTGAGCTTGATACTATACACGGTAGCCTTCACGGGAACCTGAACATAGTAGTAACCCGAAAATTGTAGCACTAAGAGAGCGATGTCCATCAAAATCGCAGCGAGATTGATCGCGAGGATCTCGTACATGGTTCGCTTTCGCCGTCTGTCGTGTCCCGGGCGGAGGCGAATGAGCCTCGCCGTTTCCACGATCCAGAAGGCGGAGATGACACATTCCTGGACGGAGAACCAGATGACCTGAATGACTTCCATGATGTAGAAGGCCCTAGCCCATACTCTCGGTTTTGCGTAAGCGGTTGTGAAGTAGATGACGCTCATCGGTGTGGCAAGGATAAGGGTATCAATGATGATTATATAACGGAGGTAGCGGAGAACGCGATCATTGCGCGAGACGAGATGTAAACGGGAGTAGAGCACCACGCTTTGCCCCCCAACCATAAATATCCAGCCGAGGTCGATCATAACGAGGATCACCCATAACGGGCTCAGGTTGTACAGGTCGATGATGGCCCCTATCGAGAAGGGGACGACGCCCACGGCTGTCGATAGGAGGAGCGACCAGAAATAGATGCCATGATGATGATGGAAGTTCCCCAGGATGAGAATCAGAAGCTCAACCGCGTTGTATAGCGCAATGGCCAGAAAGGCCGCGCTGGTGGTTTTGACGGTGAAGGTGCCATGCCCACCTAAGGGTTGTAGACGTATGGCGGCCTCGTTGGAGGTTGTGTCCATGGAATGAGGATTCGCATGATACGTCGGTGCATCTGCTGCCTGATATCGAGGAGTCTGACCTGTCAGAATTCTTGTGTTCGAAAGATGAATGCACCGTGCAGCTCGGATGCGATCAGGTATGTTTTTCTAGGAGGGCGGGAGGAGGGGGTACGCAATGAATCTCCACGAATCTCGTTCGGCACAGACTTTGAGAACTAGTAGGCACCGGATAAAAATGCGGGGAGTAATGACAATTCATGGATCATGTCGGTGTGGGGGTTCTCGTGAGCAACCCGACGGCGTGTGTCAATGTGCTTGGATTCGCCATATTCCAGGATCCACTGCGATCTGGTTGGATTTCCACTGATTGTAATTAGCTCCCGTCCCCACAATATGGGGGAGAGAACAAAGTGTGGAGGTCCTTATCGTTTATGTTTAACCTTTGGTACACTGGCTCCAGGCATAACGACGATCTTGCCAGATTAATGCATCGTTCTGGCAAAACTGGCTTTCGCTCTCGGGAAAAGTCCGGGAGAGCGCTTTGCCGAAGTTAGGGCAAGACCAGACACGGGCCGCCATTGCCAAGTCATCAGCGCCACCACCCGTAGCCGGCAGTCTCATTCGTGATGGCCCCGAGATACATACATCCATAATACTGCGCAGTAATACTTAGGAGTACTCTGTACTTAGTCTCCCACCTTGCCGATAATTGTCTTGGCGCGGTAGCTTCCCTAACGTGGTTAGATGGTCTTTTCGCGAGGTGGATCTTTCCCTTGGCCCCCGTTTCCCGCGATGAGATAGGTGGACTAGAGACGCAGGGCGGTAACTGATAAACACGTCCACTAGCCGTGAAGTTCCGTACCCAGGCCATATCGTGAAAAAGACATTCTGTCATGAGAGAGACTAGTCTCAGAACGAGGGCCTGTTCTAGCTGCTTCGACGAACAGGTTGCAAAACTCTCTCACCCTCCGTAGTTCAAACTTTCCACTTGTCGACCAATTCCTCGCTGACGGAGAAGCCTTTAACGCGTCGCCACGGGTGAAGAGTGCTCTCGGTGAGCGAAACCTTTTTTTTAAAAAAACCTCGAGGAAAACTTTCCCATCTCGTCCGCATATCAGAGCGCCAGGAATGGGATTACATTCAGGGGCCGAGTCTGGTTGGAGGGCTTTCTATTGGGAGGGACCACTTAGGTTGCATTAGGGTGACATTAGAGTTCCCTTCTTTCATAGATGGCGCGAGATATAGCTGAGTCTTTTGAGTGTCAGTCTGAGACTCTCAGGCGGCATTGAACTATCTCATTGCCCGACCATAGACGTTCGTGTAAGAGCCCTCTAGCAGTATTCGTCCAGGGTGATCTAGATTAAGGATTACGGGATCGCCGTGGTCAAGCGAGGCGACCACACTGATATACTTTTCATGCGGCTTTTTTTTTTCTTTTCTTTTTTTTGTTTTTTTTTTTTTTTTTTTTTTTTTTTTTTTTTTTTTTTTTTTTTTTTTTTTTTTTTTTTTTTTTTTTTTT